GGGGGGAAACAGCTCTGCCCCCCGGCCCAGGCACCACAAACCCATCGGAAATTAAACTTTACAAAGTTTACAAACAGGAGACGCAAAAAAAAAAACCTAAAAAACAAAACAAAAAGCCTGGCACGGGTTAATAAAAGCCTCGGGAAAGAGCTGCCCCGGGGTGGGCTCTGCACAGGAGCCAGAGATCCCTTGGGCAGGTTGGCAGTTAATGGGTTAATGGGGGACACAGCTGTGTGTGTGTGTCCCCCCCAGAGGTGGCTCCAGGAAAATCGAGGTTCTCCCAGGGTTCCCCAAGGATCTGGGCTCACCCTGGGACTGTCACAGGCTCCACCTGAGCTCCAGGGGCTGCACGATGGGAGGTGGGCTCCTGCCGCGTCTCCCAAGCCTGGAAAGACAAAAAATCAATCCCGGTGGGATCCCCACCTTGGGAGAGGGGCTCCTCCTGGTTTTCCAAGCCTGGAAAGACAAAAAAATGAATCCCTGCCCTTTTGCAGCCCCTTCCACTGCACCAGAAATACCTCAGGAGAAGGGCTGCCCCACGCTGTGGTGCTGCCTCCCCGAAAGGATGAGGCCAAAATTCCCCCCTCAAAAAATCAAGGACAAGACCGAAAGTCCCCGGAGGGGATGTCACCGCTGGTGGGACAGGAGCGGGGTCTCCAGTGCTGCCCCCGAGGCTTTGGCACTTTGTGCAGCTGAAAAGAGCCACCAGATCCAAGGCTGTGGTCACAGAAAGTGCAGAGCTAATGCATAGTTATAAAGCCGACGCTGAGAAACACTCCAGGGGGAAATTAATCACCCTCAGAGCAATTAGTGAAGCTACGCTGGTTCAGCCCAGAGGTCCATCTAAGCTCCAGGAGGGCTGGGGCAGGGTGGGGACAGGGGAATGGCCACCCCCGGGGTTCCTCCCGGGTCCTGCAGCCCCAGGAATGAAAACACCCCTTCCAAAAAAAAATAAAATAAAAAAATCAGCTTTCCCCCCCTCTCGATTTGATTTGGTCCAACAAAATTGTGCTTCAGAGAGGAGAAAAAGCATCAACAGCCATGGCCGTTTGCAGCCATCTGTGGCAGATGCTTTGTCTCCTCACCTCCCTACAGGAATATGCTTAAAAACCCGTTTCATTTAACCTTTCCTGCCCCAAATTGTCCTCACCCTGTAGCCGGGACTGGTACAGAGTAGGAGCAGCTGCTCAGGGGGTGGTTACAGGTAAGACAAGGGCGTTCTGTCTGAACGATTTCTTTGGAAAAAAATCTCCTGAAAATTTCTTTTAGTACTGCTGGCTTTGGAAACTGCTCCATTCCCAGCCAGTTCCTGCTCTCGGGGTGATGCTGAACCTCCTGTTCCCAAAGGGAACCTCAAAGCTCAAAGCAAACAAGGATGGAGGGTTCCACCAGCCCCGAGGAGACACCTCTGGGTGCTGGTGGGGTGGGAGCAGCCCTGGGGACACTGCTCACTGCCCTGTCCCATGTTCTGCACCGCTGGAGCTAACGGGGGGCTCTGGCTCCTAATTCCATCTAATTAATCCACGCCTGACGACTCTGAGGTGCACCACACCTCTCCTGCCCTCCTCTCCGTCCCCGATCCACTCTGCCAACCTCAGCACCCCCCTGGGATGCACAGAACCTCAGTGAGAGCTCTGTCCCACCCTGTCACACAGGGATCCTGGGGGTTGGGCTACACCAGAGCTCAAATCTCCAGTTCCACCTCCTCTGTTTTCCTGTCTACACGTTACCAGCTCCAGTCCCATCACACCACTGCTGTCCCTAAATTGGTGGAGAGCTGGCATCCCAGGCACCAGGCAGGAGGTGTGGAGGACACCATCCCTAAATTGGTGGAGAGCTGGCATCCCAGCCAGCGGGCAGGAGGTGTGGAGGACACCGGGTGCCAGGAGGGAGCTTCCCAGCTCTGCTGGATTCTTTCCTTCACCCACAGGGCACAGGTGCTCACCACCAGTGTTCGGTCACAACACTGTTCTCCAAGGTTCAACACAGTCCAGTCCTGGAGATCTGGGGTCTCTGGGTGACACTTGGTCCAGCTGTTCCACAGGTTTCACCACAGAGTCTGAGCAGGAGCTGGGAAAACACGGGGGTGGGCAGCAAACCCAAGGTGTATGGATGGAGAACATTTATAGGTTCAAGTATTTTCACTCCTGTAAAAATTTGCCTGACCTCAAAAGGGCAACTGGTGATCTGTAAACTGGTCTCACTCGAATCTTAGCCTCAAACCAGCACCCAGAGCAAAGCCTGGGAGTGTCTGCACCTCAACGTCAATGTCTGGCATGAAGATGAGGAAGAATTTCTGTAATCAAAATAGAGCTCTGAAGTCTTTGGCCATCTCTGTGGGGCACTCAGGTGCCTCCGTTTTTAGGTCTGCAGGTAGGGTTTTGCTCTTTGCAGTCCTTCCTTCAGGAACTGGAGGTAAGTTGCAGTCGAAGGGTCTTCAAAATTGGTTGAGAAACTAAAGATGCTGCTTTCAACATCTTCAGGCTTCATAGAAGTAATATCCAGGAAGTAGTTGGCATTGATGTGGTGAATCTGGGAAAGAAAAGAGACCAGGAGAGGAGACTTTAAAGGCCAGAACACGTGGCCACTGACCACAGCAACCTCAAGAGGGTGAGGGGGAGCCACCCACCAGCCCCCAGCCCCAGCACGGAGTCCCTGCATGTGTTACTGGCTACTATCTGTGAGTGTGGGGCAGGATCAGACCGGCCCCATCAGGATCCTCTGCCGCAGAGGAGAGAAATGTGCCAGAATGTGCTGATAAGGAGAGATTTTCTCCAAAGCGTGAGCACAAGGGACAGAGGGTGCAGGAAACAAGCGACAATGGCTTCCCAAAGGTCCCTGACTCCCACCAGGGACAATGAGGGAACACAGGAAGGCACTTGATCCAAGTCTGATTGTTACCCCCCCTTGCCCAGGGCAGCTGTTGTTCTGTCTCTGAATAAAAAGACACTTGTTTCAGGTTTCTTGGTGGAGCTGCTGTCTGTCTGCCTCAGCACCCCTGAGAGCACAGCACCCTGAGGGACTATGGCCTTGAGGAGCCAGGGAATGGCCAGGGGAGCAGCCACTCACTTCAGGGTCTGCAGATGACCCTGAAAAGAGCACATCCTGATGGGGCAGAGCCAAGCCCAGCTAAAGGGGTAATAAGGAACGCACCACCGTGCCGTTGGGGAGGCAGATGATCATCTCCACGGGGAAGTTGTATTTCTCCAGGTGCAGGTCAGCCAGCTTGCTGTAGAACTCGTTCTCTCTGTTGCTCTGTAAGGAGACCCCAAAGGAGCATGTTGGCACACACCCGAACCGGCAGAAGAGCACGGGAGGAGTTACAGTGAGCACAGGAGGAGGAGGAGGGAGACCCAAAAGCTACTCTGCAGCACGGTAGTAACTGGTTCCATTCTCACCATCTGCTTTACTATTCCCCTTCAGTCAATCTCCCCCTCACTTTTCAGCTGTAGTTTTTCTCCCCGAAGGATAAAATCGCCCCATCACTAGCAGTTCCCAGCCACACCAACTTTTCCCAGCTTTTCCCAGAGTCTCCAGCTCCGTGCCTGACCCCAGCTGATGGCACGGGCCCAGGGATGGGTCGATAAGTGGGGAAAGGTGCAACCAGGAGGCTCCGGGTTCAGACAGTATTTGATTGCTCCCTGGGTTACAGAGAAGTCAGTTTGTTGATGGCACAAATGGCCTTGGGCAGGGCCATCTCACAGCGAAGCATCTGGTTTAGCGTTTAATATTGGCACCAGGACAGAGTGAAGGGGGTCATTGTGCCATTTTCTCAGCCTGCCTCCATCTGGTGTTTGCTTGGCCCCTGCAATCGCTGGGACACGGAGGGTTTGGAACCGAAATCCCCCCCTGGCACAGGGGTGAGCTCCCCCGTGCCAAGCACTGTCTGCTTTATAGAATTTATAGAATTTTATAGAATTGCCCAGGCTGGAAGGAACCTCCAAAGGCCATCTAGTCCCACCCCCCCGCAGTCAGCAGGGACACCCCCAACTAGACCAGGTTGCCCAGGGCCTCGTCGAGCCTCTCCTTGAATATCTCCAGGGATGGGGCCTCAACCACCTCCCTGGGCAACCTGTTCCAGTGCTCCACCACCCTCCCAGTGAAGAACCCTCTCCTCATCTCCAGTCTAAATCTGTTCCCCTCCAGCTTGAAGCCATTGCCCCTCGTCCTGTCACTGCAGCCCTTTCTAAACAGGCTCTCCCCAGCCTTCCTGTAGCCCCCTCAGGTACTGGAAGGCCGCTATTAGGTCTCCCCGGAGCCTCCTCTTCTCCAGGGTGAACAACCCCAGCTCCCTCAGCCTGTCCTCGTAGCAGAGGTGCTCCATCCCCCTCGTAGGTGCTCGTGGCCCTCCTCTGGACCCTCTCCATCAGGTCCACGTCCTTCTTATATTGAGGGCTCCAGACCTGCACACAATACTTTCACCAGCCCTATATTGAGGGCTCCAGACCTGCACACAAGCCCCGAAAGCAAAGGTGGCAGATGTGGCCGTGACACTCACCTGCAGCTCCTCCAGCTCCTTCACCAGTGACCAGCTGCTAATGAAGCTCTCGTTCAGCAGGGCGAGGATGGGCGAACTTTCCAGGACAGTCTCCCGGAGAGTTCGCCCCGAACCTGGCACAGGAAGAGGCAGAGAGTGGTTTGCTGGGCTTCCAGAGCTGACTCTTGTCACATTTGATGCCACCGTGATGCCACCAACCACTCTGCTTGCTGCAGCAGCTGGCTCAGACTCCCCCCAGCTTAGCCCAT